GCTACATGTCTTTGCTAGAAAATATCTCAATACGTGTAAATGAATTGGTTTACGTGAAAGTTATAGCGTTTACAAATGGCAGTATAGATGATGGGATTTTTTGTTTTTTATTATTTTTACTAGTAATGATGGCGATCAGCAACTGTAGTATCCTATGATACTTATCACCATTCAGTGGCCAAACTGCCCGCCTGAAATGTACTGAGGAAGGGCAGCCTGGGCAGGGATGAGAAGCAAGAGAATCTATTAGTAAAAGCAGCACACATGTCCTCATGCACACTGGATATTTTAAAAAACGCTGGTTGCGTTAGCTGTATAAAGTTGCATTAAAAAAAAAAGTTTTTGCATTTTGTAGCTTTTTGCATTAGTGTTTAGCCACGTTTTTCCAAAATTTTATTTTATTTTTTGCATGTAAATGCTAAACATTTACACACAAAAAATAAAATAAAATTTTGGCTCAAACAATTGCTCAAAAACGCCGGTTTGCTGAAACCCTGCTTACCAGCGTTCAAGAGTTTTTACAGCTTAAACCTCCTCTAGAAACCCGCTAGTCCTCCTGGGTTTTTTTCCAGCCACAAAACGCCCCTGCCAAAAAACACTGTACAGTCTATCACTAGACACTTAGGATAACATGCTGGGGGAGTTCAGTGGATAAAAACCGCAAAGCCAAAAAATGTACAGCTGTGCATGAGGCTTAATACACACATTACACATTGTTAGGCTCACATTGAATCCCTCGATCACCCTAGATGTTAACCCCTTCCCAGCCATTAGTACAGTGACAGTATATAGTATCACTGATCACTGTATCAGTCTCACTGGAGATGTCAGTGGCAGTTACACAGTTCCCTTCAGCGTCAGATAGTGTCAGATTGCCCGACGCACTATCGCAGTCCCATTATAAGTTGATGCTGATCATTGCCATTAGTAGTATGAAAAAAATAACTAAAAATTCCAGTATATATATATATCATATCGTTTGTTGATGCTATAACTTTCACGTATACCAATCAATATACACTTATTGTCATTTTTTTACCAAAGACATGTAGCAGAATACATTTTAATTTTTTTATTGGATATGTTTTTTAGCAGACAGTAAAAAATATTGTTTTTTTTTTATTTAATTTTGGTCTTTTTTCGTTTATATCACACAAAAAAAAAAAAAAAAAACAGTTTTTGTACCTGCTGACTTTTATTTTTTTCAGAGGAGATTGGACCTCCGCTTTAAGTGGTCAACAAGTCAACAAAAATGATTTGACCCGCACAGGAAATTGCCTAATACAGTATCTCACAGAATCGAGTACACCCCTCACATTTTTGTAAATAATTTATTCTACCTTTCATGTGACAACACTTAAGAAATTACACTTTGCTACAATGTGACATAGTGAGTGTACAGCTTGTATAACAGTGTAAATTTGCTGTCCCCTCAAAATAACTCAACACACAGCCATTAATGTCTAAACCGCTGACAACAAAAGTGAGTACACCCCTAAGTGAAAATGTCTAGATTGGGCCCAAAGTGTCAATATTTGTGTGGCTGCCATTATTTTCTAGCATTGTCTTAACCCTCTTGGGCATGGAGTTCACCAGAGCTTCACAGGTTGCCACTGGAGTCCTCTTCCACTCCTCCATGACGACATCACGGAGCTGGTGGATGTTAGAGACCTTGAGCTCCTCCACCTTATCGTTTGAGGATGCCCCACAGATGCTCAATAGGGTTTAGGTCTGGAGACATGCTTGGCCAGTCCATCACCTTTACCCTCAGCTTCTTTAGCAAGGCAGTGGTCGTCTTGGAGGTGTGTTTGGGGTCATTATCATGTTGGAATACTGCCCTGCGGCCCAGTCTCTGATGGGAGGGGAATCATATTCTGCTTCAGTATGTCACAGTACATGTTGGCATTCATGGTTCCCTCAATGAACTGTAGCTTCCCAGTGCCGACAGCACTCATGCAGCCCCAGACCATGACACTCCACCACCATGCTTGACTGTAGGCAAGACACACTTATCTGTGTACTCATCACCTGGTTGCCGCTACACACGCTTGACACCATCTGAACCAAATAAAATTACTTGGTCTCATCAGACCACAGGACATGGTTCCAGCACTCCATGTCCTTAGTCTGCTTGTCCTCAGCAAACTGTTGGCGGGCTTTCTTGTGCATCATCCTTGGAAGAGGCTTCCTTCTGGGACGACAGCCAAGCAGACCAATTTGATGCCGTGTGCGGCGTATGGTCTGAGCACTGACAGGCTGACCCCTTCAACCTCTGCAGCAATGCTGGCAGCACTCATATGTCTATTTCCCAAAGACAACCTCTGGATATGACGCTGAGGATGTGCCCTCAACTTCTTTGGTTGACCATGGCGAGGCCTGTTCTGAGTGGAACCTGTTCTGTTAAACTGCTGTATGCTGCAGCTCAGTTTCAAGGTCTTTGCAATCTTCTTATAGCCTAGGCCATCTTTATGTAGAGCAACAATTCTTTTTTTCAGATCCTCAGAGTTCTTTGCCATGAGGTGTCATGTTGAACTTCCAGTGACCGGTATGAGAGAGTGAGAGCGATAACACCAAATTTAACACACCTGCTCCCCATTCACACCTGAGACCTTGTAACACTAACGAGTCACATGGCACCGAGGAGGGAAAATGGCAAATTGGGTCCAATTTGGACATTTACACTTAGGAGTGTACTCACTTTCATTGCCAGCGGTTTAGACATTAATGGCTGTGTGTTGAGTTATTTCGAGGGGACAGCAAATTTACACTGTTATACAAGCTGTACACTCACTAAGTCACATTGTAGTAAAGTGTCATTTCTTCAGTGTTGTCACATGAAAAGATAGAATCAAATATTTACAAAAATGTGAGGGGGTGTACTCACTTCTGTAAGATACTATTATTATATTATTTTTCTTTGCCCCATTCACACAAAACGACATGCACTGCACTGGGCGAATTGCTATGCAATTTTTTTATAAATACACCCCAGGAAAAAAATGTAGCAAACACAAGAACATTTTGTTAGACATAGTATTTAACTTCCTTGTTTCTCTTTACATGGAGGATTGCATTAGAAGTTTGTAAAATGGTGTGTTTAGGTACTTTAGATTTGTTTTTCCATATGGGATTTTAATGATTGGGTTTACCTTTACTTTAAAGGAAGCACAGTTCTTAAAAAGTACACTTATTCTTTAACCTGCGTGGGTTCCCCCGGGTACTCTGGTTTCCTCCCACACTCCAAAGACATGCTGGTAGGGGAATTGGATCCTGCCTAAATTGGCCCTAGTATGTGTATGTATGAATGTGAGTTAGGGACTTTAGATTGCACACCCCTTGAGGGTTTAGGGACTGATGTGAATGTACATTATATATGTAAAGCAACATGTAAATTGAATGCGCTATATAACTACCTGTAATAAATAAAATAATAAAATAAATAACTCAGCCTGTGTATTCTATGCAGTAATGTATATTATAATATTTCCTATGAAAGGGTTCCGTTGAGACACAACTGAAACACTAAGGATAAAATCATTCTTTGGTTGATGCTGGTGGATTAAATCAACTGTTAGAGTCTCATATCTCCAAGCCTAGACTGGGCCAAAAAATATTCTTGGGCATTTTGAACTGAGCAGCCCCAAGCCCTTTTCTTGGAGCCCAGTGGTGGAATGCTAGGGCCCGGTCACAAGAGCAACCTTTGCGACTCTGGTAGTTTCGCCACTAGTTTCAGTAGGTTTTTATTGTTCTTTAATTTTTTACAATTTTATATTTTATTACCTTTTTCCATTTTTTTTGTAGAAGAGAAGGAAAGAAAGAAAGAAGGCCTGGGAGAGAAGACACAAGGCTGGAGGGGAGTGTGGGAGGGGCAGACACAGAAGGAGAGGGTGGGAGGAGGAGGGGCAGCTTTCTCTCTCCTCCTTCGTCTGTGGTGGGCAGCGAACTGTCAGCACTTGGGACAGAATATGCTGCCAAAAGCTCCATTGGAGCTGCAGGGAGGGGAGAGAACCTGGAGGCAGCACTGCAGGAGATGAAGGGGAGGCAGCTGTGGGGGGAGCATACAGGAGCCCAGGGCATGCAAGAGATGAATAGGAGGGGTGGTTGGGTGGCACATAGAGGAACCAAGAAATGCGCAGTCCAGTTCCCGTATGTGATGCCCGGTCGCCCATCCTATCAAGGCAGCCCTGGCCCACTAGGCAAATGCCTGGTGTGCCCTATGGCCAGTCCTGGCCTGCATATCTTTGTGGGACTTCCAGCAATGAAAAGTAGTTTTTACCTTCCCCTCATTGCATCCCTCTAATGGTAATATTGCTAGCTAAAGCTTTTAGCCTCATCATTCACCATTGTGCCACAATTGTAAAAACAAGCACCAAACTGCCCATGATGCAACCCCAATAGCTAAATACATTACAGATGCATCAAAACAAAAGGTGTCCAAAATCTCAGAGCATGAGCTCTCCAACCAGCAGGAAGTATGAGGTTTTCTTATTGTAGAGCTATAGGTCTGACTTAGCAGAGGGCATTTTGCATCTCTGCAGAGAGGCCACCGCTTTCACACCGAGAGCAAGGGTCCTTTTTCTGAATCTGCTGGCAGGGGATAGGCGTTTCTGGTCAGGTTGTGGCTGCTTTCTAAAGAAAACAAACTGCAAGAATTTGCACACCTTTTGCTTTGATGCACTTTGAAGTATTTAGATTATCTATACTCATTTATGCAGTTGTGGTGACCTGCATTTTTCCTCACTGGATTTTACTGAAATAGGGAGGTTGAACCTGTTTCCAATGCCATCCAAAATAAAAAAAATTGGTTTTCTTTTTGGATGCGCTTTTAGCAAGCCAGTATCCACCAAAACGGAAATATCAATAACACTTATTATGTATCTATATTGTATTCATGAAACATGTAATATTGTCAGATTTACACAGTACATGACATTTAATACATCATTTTCCAACATAAATGCAGACTAGGCTAAAGTGTTAATAAGTGTTAATAAACCCAGGACCCTGCATTCACTCTATCTGGTCTCCCACAGTACACAGAACATGGAAATGCAATTATTTTAGTAAATATAAACTGCTTAATACCTTTTCTCATCAGCAGTATATAGCAGTTTTATTACTTCTATCAGTGTCCAGCTGAGCACTAGCTAAAGCTTGTAGGGGGGGTTTTCTTTCTGCTCTAGGATGATGGAAATCCCCTGACCTCTGTCTGGACAGTGCTGATTGGCCTTGTGCTAATCACATGCACTCTCCCAAGAAAAAAAAAACATCTCTAGCAATACACACCAAACTGAGCATGTGCATGCCTACGGTTCAGTCTGGAGATAAGAGGCGGTCACTTGAAAAAGGGGAGAAACAGGGAAGAAAGGATCAAACAGCCTTTTTACACAATGCAGAGGATTAACCCCTTAGGTTCCACAGTGAGTATAACAAGCATGCTTTACTGCATATACAGACTGATTTTACTGTTGTGGGTTTAGTAACACTTTAAGGGCCAGTTCGCACTACAAAAATGCACTCCAGATGCATTCCAGATACGTTTTTTCTAACAGTTCACACCACGCGCAGTTCCGGTGCAGTTTGGATGCAGTTTGCCATGTTCCAGAACGGTTCTGTGCAGAAAAAATGCAGCCTGTTCTACTTTTTTTTATACACCGGAAACTGACTGGAACTGACTGCAAAAGCAAAGAAAAGGTGGAAGTATTTTAAAAGCGTACTTGGAGTGTTTTTCTTTTCCATAAATTCATTCAAATTAGTTCACTTTAAAGTGTAACTAAACCCACAACAGTAAAATCAGTCTGTACATGCAGCACAGCATGCTTGTTATTAGTGGTGCACCAAAATTAAAATTCTGGTGCCGAAACCGAAACCGGAAATTCAGGATGCACTTTGCTGAAAACAAAAACCAAAATGGACAATTTTTTAAAATTAATATCATTTTCAAACACAATTTTTTGGGAAAAAAATACACTTTAATAAATAATAAAAAAACAAATAATATATACCCCAATTTTTTTTGTAAAATATGAAAGATGATGTTACGCCAAGTAAATAGATACCCAACATGTCATACTTTAAAATTGCGCACGCTCGTGGAATGGCATCAAACTACGGTACTTAAAAATCTCCATGAGTGACGCTTTTCTACAGGTTACCAGTATTAAAGTTACAGAGGTGGTCCAGTGCTAGAATTATTGCTCTTCCTCTGACGTTTGTGCTGTGTGGGACGGGGGCACTTTAAATTTTTTTTTATTATTTTTTTTCTTTACACTGTCCCTTTAAAGAAAAAATGTAATCACTTTTATTCCTATAACAAGGAATGCATGCATCCCTTGTGATAGAAATAAGTAGTGACAGGTCCTCTTTATGGAGAGATATTGGGTCAATAAGACCCCACATCTCTCTTCTACTATGTAAGAATTAGATTTAAAAAAACATTGATCTAGTGCTTTAAAAAAAAAAAGGCCTTGTTTACAAGGCGCTGGAACCGGAAGTGATGCCGCTCCGGTCCTCCAAGGGCATAGAGATGAGTGGGGGGCATCTTTCCTTCACTTACCTCTATGCTCAGTACCGTTGTTCGGTGGTCTCTCAGTTAAGACTGAGAACTACCAAGCGGCGGGAGGTGGCGACAGCAGCGGGCAGGAGGCGTCGAGGGATGGCAGAGGCAGGCGGGAGGTGGCGAGGGACAGCGAGCAGGCGGGGTTGTTATTGGTGCTTATTTTCATATTGGCCAATGGCCAATAGGGGTGTTTTCGGACGAAAAGTTTCGGCCACCGAAATTTCGGTGTATCCCTAGTTCTAACCCCTCACCACTCTTTCAGGATCTAAAACAAAAGTTTCATCCTATATTTTATACTTTAAAATGGTTCTAAAGCCAGGAAATTCTCTACATTAAAGTAAAAAATGTCCCAGTATTTGTATTGCTCCCTCACCCCCCTTATACTTACCTTACTTGAGTCCTCACTCAATCCAATGCATTGCTCATCTCTAGCAGCACTCTCCTCTCTCTCACTCTTTGCATTCACAGGACAGAGAGGGAGCAGTGGAAGTCATGCTATCAATCAAATCCTGTGAGAAAAGAGTGGAGGGCAGTATTGTGCTGTCTGTGCCTATGGACTCACACAGCCGAGCTCAGGAATGAGACTGCAGGCACACCTTCATAGGAAGCAGCATGCTATGGGGACACATGGTGAAGATGAGGGGCCAAGAGCACTGACGGGGGAACCCTGCAGAGGAGGTTCTGGGCCGCAGTGATTCTAAGCCCCCCCCCCCCAAGCTCCAGTCAGCCAGACGACATGCATTTTTCACACTTGCATCTGTCACGATCGCACGGTCGCCGACACCAACATGCAACAATCGCACGACCGCAACTAACAGTAATACGTCACGCCTGCGGCGTCAGACCCCAGACCTTCTCACCAACTCGTGACCGAAGGACCTGCCGATCTAAAACCGCAGTGTGACGCGCGTAACAAGGCCCCACCCAGCTGCACCCTGCACAGCGATTGTCCAGCTAATGGGCTACAATCGGTGCCTGCAGCCTGAATGCGCTTGTTACTGGGTCGGGTTAATTACGCAACTAACCCTCTACTGCCACCACCACTTTTGTCGGAGACTGGGAAACTCCCGTTATCAAATATACACTATAATGATTGAAAAGTCGCCTTTCTAATACGGTCACCGCAGGCCGATTGGGCAGAGGATTAAACAAACACAGTAGCGTCTCTTCAAAGGCAGGAATTTGTGAATTGCAAGTAAACGCTTAGAAACAGTTTAACACTTTCAGAAAGAAAGATTTATTACTAAAAGAGTCAAACAGGTGCAATAAAAAATATTTACAAAGAAAATGTAACTATATATATATATATATATATATATATATATATATATATATATATATGCATATAAAGGTACAGCAAAGAGATAATAGGAAGGAAGTTAAAGGGTTACATTACTTGCCAATATACCTTGGTTTGTAAGCAGATCCAAGTGCAGAGCAGGAAGGGTCTTTGATCTCCTCTGTTACGATGTTAAACTCAGGAGATGTGCTTTTCCTCTTAGCTTACCTCCAGGCTTGCAGCCTGTCCACTACGCTGTTTTGGGAGGAGTCAGGAGAACTCTGAATTAGAACCAACATCTGTCATAATCCATGACATGAAACATAGGGGAAAAAAAACCTGACTTGAGGAATGTTCATTTCATTCTGACATCTTTACTGTTAGGTTCTGTGAGGTTTCAACTTCTTTCAAGTCCGGGGGGAGAAGCTGCCTTATCTGTTTTATGATGGGTGAGCATACACAAGGTCTGGGATCAGTGCTTCCCAATGCTCTGATGAGCTGGCCTTATCATGATTTTAGGTGAGAAAGGTTACACTTTCGCAGACTGCCTGGCACCGGACTGAGGATGCCTTAACTTGGGTTGACCCCCCCCCCCCCCATCTGTCAGGATATAACGTTTGCCTCTCAGGAAGGGAGGGGGTAGGGACTGTAGGACTGAGGAATACTTCCAATAAAAAGAAAAGGAAAAGGGGAACTCCGCGTCCAACTCTGATGGGCTAGTTTGCTACAGCATCCACAGTCAGTGAACAGTCTATGAGCTTGGTTTTGTTATTTTATTAGGGGAAATAACATGGATAGAGTATTATGGATTATGGGATTCCCAACTTGACCTCAACAACTTCCTTCCTATTTACAGAAATAGATCCTGGACTATTTTCCTCCCTGGATACAGTCGGTCTTTACGGATCAGTAGCAAAAGCCACTTACAGGCTAGGGACTGTCAGCCCCTCTCAAAGTTAGCTTAGATACATGTAGAGATGTCTCCTCTCTCCTGTAGAATTGCTCCCAGCTCCACAGCCTGCAGACACTACCAGCCCTGCTGGCTGCTCTGAAGATCTCAAAGGACAAGGATAAAGGGTTAGCCACAACTGTCCTTTGAAAGCTTGCTACACATGGCAGTCTTTCCCCTTGTGAATCCCTGGGTGTGCTGATGTACTCATGCTGTCTGTGATGGAACGCCGAGTCAGTGACTCCGTCAGAGAATCGCTTCCTCGCCATTGGGACACAGGACCAAGGTATTATAGCTGGGCATTGCACCCAAAGACTAGCTTAGATGCCAAACAGAAACTCTTTATTGAACAGAAAGCACAAGTTTTTATACACTCCAGAAATAGGGGCATTGCCCACAGGAACAATAAACACAAATCGTATACATTAGGATAAACATCTCGCATTGATTAGGTAAGAGCTTGATCACATTATTAAACAATGCAAATGGTAAACAGTACAGCCAACAGCTATCAGTGATCTAACTACATTAAACTAATCAACAGCCAGGTATACAGACAATGCTTTGATAATCAGGGAGACCACCCCAGACTGACTGGCAAAAAGCCCACACCCTGAATACACAAAGTCTATTACACAAGCTGACTTTCAGGTGTTTGCTTTCACTTTTATAATCTGTCCATCATAGGGCAAAACTCATACAATATTGAAAAAGGGGAATTATTTTATCTTCTTAGATTTCTTGAGGGAGATTGTTAATAAATATTTCTGTCCCAAATGGAGGAGCTTTATCAACCCAGTACGCATAAGGGTCACCATATTTCCTGTGAGCATTAACCTGTACAAGATTAATATGACATCTTTCCATCCACTCCATAATAGAAGATTTACTGTCTTTATGCAGATGATTAATCCAATCCTCGCACTCAGCATTCATCACGTTGTTGTCCATCATTAGAGAATGATCTTCTCTCTCCATGGGCCCTAATCAGTGGGTAGAAGAAGGCTAGCCCCTAGTCCCCTCCAAAAGACCCTGTCAAAGTTGGGTCTGTCAGACTGCCCTCCTTGCTCCCACTGCTCCCAGGCCTTGATTCTGTTCATACCATGATGCTGAATAGATCCTCCTGAGTCAGCCCGAGCCCAGCCTTGACGCCAGCCCACGTAGACCTAGGGGACACCTCTCATGCCACCAACAGCCTCCTCACCTCTATCTTCCATTCCACTCCCCTGCCAGCCCATATTAATAGGTTGGCTTCACCACTCTACCAGGATCTCCAAACCTGGGATTGGTTAGACTCCCATAAACATGCAGATTTCGGTCTCCACCCCTTCC